TTTGATAATTTTTTTAAACATTTTTAACTCAAAAACTCAACTTTAATCCAACTCAGTTCTCCTACTTCTTCTATCACATCAATTACATTTGAAATATTATTTAAATAATTCAAGATCACAATCAATCCTCTCTACGTGAGTGTTGATTTCAACACTCAACAATAAAAAAAACCCGATGATGATACTACTCTCAGATACAATCGAACTTCTCTTGATTAACAACCTACACTAACATTGTGCCAGCCAAACCATCAAAATATACTCATCACCCAAAGTTTAAAAACACAAATTTACAACTAAAAATTACACATCAATTGGCAGGAAGGATCATGCAGATACCACTCATCTTCATCATTACATCATAAAAATACACCATTATATGCACATCTCAATCACATGAAAGAAAATATAGCTCAATGGAGGTGCATACCTCTCAATTATACTTCCTAACAATCGAAAGAATAAGATAACAAGAAAAAGAAAAAAGAAGTGACAAATCTACTTACCCTTCTTTCCAACAATCTAAAAGAATAATCTCAACAAAAACACCATACCCATCAAAACATCACCTCCTTCACACCACCACCACCTTCACTTTCACTTTCCCTCTCACCCAACTCTTCGAAATCCCTATTTCGCCCTTCACTCCACTCACCATCACTGTTCTTATCATCACCACGCAAAAATCTCGACGGCAGCAATGCCGCCACAGCTGCCCTTGCGCTCTCCTTTGCTCGCTCAGCCTCCGCCGCCACCCGGGCAGCCACCTCAGCCTTCTCCCGCTCCACCTCAGCCTTGATATCCGACACCTCATCTTCCCTCCCTCCAATCCTCATCCCTTCCCGAACAAATTCCTCCATCTCCTCAGTAAAACCACACGGCTCTTCCCTCAACATACCACCCACAATTCCCATCACCTCATCATACTTCCCTTTCTCAAAAAGGGCTTTCATGATGAACTTATACGACTCGTCATTCATTCTTAGTTTCGGCACCATCATCTCGAAAAACGACTTGGCCTCGTCTATTTTTCCCGCCTTCACCAAACCTTCGATCAACTGGTTGTAGACAGTCAAATTGGGCTTCAGTTTTGAGTCCACCATTGTTTTGAAGTATCGGGCCGAATCGTCCGGCCTGTTATCTTTGAAGCAAGCGTTCATTAGCGTTGCAAAAGTGTACTCGTCCGGGCTTACTTTTAAATCAGCCATGCCATTGTAGAGTTCTTCGGCATTCGCCAGCCTGTCGTTATTACACAACTGGTCGATCAAGACATTGTAGGATAGAGTGTCCGGCAAACACCTCTTTTCAACCATGCTATTGAAAACTTCAACGGCAAGGTCGAATTTTTTCTCCGAACAGTACCCATCGACTATAATGTTGTAGCTGCCTAGGTTCATGGTTAGGGTTTTCGGGGGATTGTGCTCGTTCTTCATCCTCTCAAACAAATTCAGCGCCTCGTTAAATTTTCCGTTCTTGCTCAGGGCCTCTAGAATGTAATTGTACGCAAAGGGGTTCATCTTAACTGGTGAGCCATGGACTAGAGCTATTTTGTACACTTCCATGGCTTCTGCTTCATTCCCTTTCAAGAAATGCCCTTTCATTAGGTTTCCATAAATGATACCATCCAAAATGTGGTCTGTTCCCAAATTCTGCTTCAATTCGTCATACAGATCGAAAATTCCTTCAGCGTTTGAATTCTTCGCGTGCCCCGACATCAAGTAGGAATATATTGTTGGATCGGGTTTGTAACCCTTCTTCTCCATGTCGGTTTTTAGTTCGACGGCTTTCTGGACTAGCTGGTTTTCCACTAATCCTTTGATCAGGATGCGGTAAGTGGTGGGGGAGGGGTTGAAGGGGACCTCGTTGATAAGCTGCTTGTACGTCTCTAGGGCTAGATCGATTTTCCGGGAATTGAGGTAAAGGGTGAAGAGGATGTTGTACGTTACCACGTTGGAGGCGATGTCGGCCTGGGTGATGAACCGGTGGATGGAGAGGAGGTCGGCGTACTTGGACTGCCGGAGCTGGGCGGCCATGACCGAGTTGCAGGTGTGGATTGTCGGGCGACAGTTGGAGTAGATCGAGTGGCGCGTTAAGAGCGCCGCCTCATCGAGGTCGTTCTCGCGGATGAGCTTGAGGACGCGGTTGTGGAGGTTGAGGCGGTTGCCGGATAGGGAGGAGGCCGGCTCTGGGATCCTGGGGATGTTTGGGTTCTGCACCGACGCCGACGCCGGAGACGGCTGCTGGTGGCGGAAGGCGGAGAACGGCGGATCGATGCGGAGGCGGAGTTTGCGCTCGCGGCGTTCGGCGGCGGCTTCTTCAGGCGTGGAGAAGGAAAGGAGGCGGATCGGGAGGAAGGCGTGCGGCGGCACGTGGGATCGAGGGCGGCCGGGTTTGGGTAGGGTTTTGGTGAGGTGGTTGAGGAGGGTGAGCTTGGAGAGTGCCATTGGAGGGGTTTAGTGTGTGCTGTGTGTTAAAATGACTTGTGGTATATAATTGGGCTTTAAATGTTCCTAATAAATGGTTGTACATATTATTGCTTTGGGCTGAAAATTGGTTTGAATCATTGCCCAATTAAGAAAAATGTGTGAAAGAAAATACATCAAACAAATATGAAATAACAAAGAGAAATCTTTTAATCACTATATACCATATGAAAAAATTCAACACATTTTTCAATCCCAATTTTATAGATAAACTTAATTCACAATCCCCAAACCGCCCTCGAATGCGACCCCAGTTGAGGGCAACCACGACGAGCCGGATAGAAACCGGTCCACTGTAAATTTGTTGGCCTCATCCGCAGACATAACCGCATGATAGCCAGTCCAATTCACGCGCTGCATGGTGACGGCTCCAGGCCCATAATTTTTGTACTCCCCATAGTACAACGTGTCAAGCGCGAAGGATGATTGATTCCACTCGAGCCACCCCTTAGGGTTAATATTATCACTAATGTTGCATAGCATGTAGACCGTTTGTGCATACGACTTCCACGGTCGCCCCAAGTACGTGGGATATTCGTTCTTATTGGCCATAAGGTCGGGCTCAGCCATGATAGAGCAGTTGTGGATCGAGATGCCCGTGTTCTGGTTCGGGTCCTGGCGGCTCTGGGCTGTGATGGTGTTCTTTTGAGATGGAAGTGGTTTCCGAGCGTAGATGTTGCAGCTCTGGAAGACGACGGCCGCATTTCCGAATATGAAGTCTATGGTGCCGTAGATATCGCATCCTTGGTAGAACTGCCTCTGGGAGTGGACGTACAATGTGTCTTGATACCCAATGATGTTGCAGTTATAGATCACGGCGTAGTCGGCCCCAATACGTAGGGCGACCGCCTGGTGATTGATTGGCCCAGCTAAATTCTCGAACGTGATGTCCTTCAATATGAGGCCGTTGCCGGTCGCGGCTACGTACATGCCAAGTAGCATGATTTGATTAGATGAATTGCCCAATTTTGATGAAAAAAAAGAAAGTTAAGGATTTAATGAGGTCGTCATAGTTGTTTCGGGATGTGTTATGTTGTAGTAACATAAAGATTGCCATAAAGTTTAATATAATACACAAGTGGCAAAAACATATGGTTTTACAACTGTAAAATCAACAAATCTANCCATTATTTTAACAAATTATATCTAACATAGAAGTATTCATTTGGGATAGACACATAGGCAAGTCCATGTAGGTCAATTGTACAAGTCTTCAAGGATATCATGTTTTCCTTTTTAAGAAAGTCGATCTTCTAAGAAAACGATTTCATCAATTTGTCGCTAGTGTCCTAACCAAGACCAACAAATGTGACCCAAATTTGTGTAAAGACTGTAAACGAGTCGAGTCGAGCTCGAGTTCAGGATGTTCGGATAGTTAAGTAAACAAGTCAGAAATCGAGCGCAAGCTCAACTCATTTATCAACATTAACAAGTTAATTTTGGGCTTTAACAAGCTGAACTGTATAAAATTACATAAAAAATATTTTTCGAGACTTGACGAACCTTATCAAAGCTGAACAGTCGAACCTGGCTCGTTAACAAAGAATTTTAAGTGAGTTCGAGTTCGACAGTTCATCAAACGAGTTGAATCGGACTCTGTTGTTTATCAAATAAAATTTAACCGTACCAAACCTCATTGAATTGCACGATTCAGCTCAGGTCTCGTTTAAAGGCTCATTGCTTAGCCCTGACCTAACTTAATAATTTTTTTTTTTATTCTTTTCTTTTTTAAGGTAGAAGAAAATTCATCCTCAACACAGACTCTGTTAGTCCATTCTAATAGCATGTTCAAAATAATGAGTCGAACTAAATCAAACCAGCAGCTACAGAAATTCTATTGAGTCATCGGATGGCTTCATTATGGAGCCATCAATAATTTTATATACTGAAACATGTCCAATGTATATTTAATGCAGGACATGTGTCAATATACTATTTGTGAATAACTATGGATGGCTCCATAAGCCGAGCCATCCGATGGTTCCATAGCAAAACCGCCAACAGCTAGCTGTAATTATTTTAACAATTTAAACAGCTATAATGTTTGACCTTTTAAAATATAAATGCAATTTTCTTCAAAAAATTATTAGAATTCATAATCATTCTAGAAAATATATTGTGGAAAAAGGTTAACAAGTGAAAAGCCAGATAAGAAGGAAAAGGAATTTAGTCATTTTACCAAATGACGCAGTGTGGAAGGTTGTCATGTTGTCAGCAACGCTCTTATTACCCGTAATGACCGTTTTACCCTTACCGTCTCCGATGAACATTAGGTTCCTCTTAGTCCTCCCCACTTTCAGTATTTTCTCATCGTACCTATATAATAATAATATAATAATAATAATAAAGTAAATAAAGCATTGCAGATTTCAATAATTGTAATTTTAAAGGTGACATTATATTCATACAAAATGTCTCAGGACACCGTATATATATAAAACTTTGATTGAAATT